CAAGTGTTATAATAATTCCTCGTCCTGCTACTTTCGATCTCGTTCTTTAACTTGCTTTCTTTATCTGTAAATATGCATCATATTTTGTCTTTCATTATATCCATGCTTTGCATCTATGTTTCATGCATCTTGATTCGGCTAAGTTTGCATTTGTGGGTTTAATAAAATTCCTATGTGATTATGTGCGCTACCTCATGTTCTTGAGATGATTCACATGTCATATCTTAGAAGCCGAATCTTTAGTTGCATCTCACGAGTGAATTGCATTAGGCTTTTGTATATAAGATCATGCATGTTTTACTAACTTTATTTTGTAGCTTGTTCGCGGGACGTCAAACATGTAAGTTTTTATGCTTTAGCATCCCATTTGTGTGTGTTTTTCTTACTATGTTTAGCATTCTACCATGAGGCTATTTGCTTATGTGATGTAACTCTATGAATGCCAGTGGATGGAGGTTATGTCGCTTAATTTGGAATGATGTTGATTTTCATATTTGTAAACTCAATTTATTTAGGTTGTACATCTTCAAAACTACATGAAAACAAGTTGTTCCACAGTGGGTGACATAGTCTATACTTGTATGCTTCACATAGTAAATTGTAGGATTTATTAAATAATCAGAACATGAACATATAAAAAAAATAAAATCCATATCATGGTTAGTAAAGGCCGATCTCTTGATCGGGTGAGCGGGGGTGCTTAATTAATGACCTTCCCCTCTCATACCTAAGGTTCTGAATCAAGACAACTTTGGTTACGACGAACAGTGGCCTTGGCACGAGTCACGGGTGTCCTAATTTTTTCAAAATAAATATTAGATGGTGACTCTGAGATCTGATGACGTAGTCCATTTCTGGCAAAAGGTTTTTGCAATAAAATAGATTTTCTAAAAGTTACAAATGTGGACTCTCATTTATGTTTCACATTGCACTCGTGAGACTATATCAAAGAGATCGAGGGTCCGAACTGTTTAACGTGCGCGGGTATCCCTCGGGCATGTTACACTAAGTGAGGTGCTTCTTTAAAAAATCCATTATGAATTCTAGATCTCAGGAGGATGTACCACATCCATGGCAGATTTATTTGGTACATATTCTCTTGTCAGCAAATATTTTTTTCCCCACAACTGTTCAATATCAGATGCAAAAGTTCTGTTTGGCCATTGTATTGTTTGTGGGTTAGTTTCTGTTATGTAGGCCATCAAGTCTTATTTCACTACCTTAGAAAATATTTTTCATGTCCATGTTCAACATGAACCATGTTGATCTCTATTCAGTGGACATGCGGTTAAACTTGAGCATTTAGAGGAGATGATTGTCTAACATAACATCAAAGCATTAGTTTTGGTAGGACTTGGGTTCAAGTCTCCGTGTGTTTATTTTTTCCACCATTATGCTTTTCGCTTGGCATCTATTATATTTTACTTGCACCTTGTTTGTATGTTAGTACATTTGCAACCTATTTGGTTCATCTGTTTGTTGACATATGAGAAGGGGGTCTCGTGTGAGGGAGGGTACAATGGCTTGATATGTGTTATTTGGCCCAAATCATAAATAGCTTTAACTTTTTTTGGTAGCTTTGATCCTACTAGGTCTCGGGCTCAAGTCTTTCCAGATAATCTAATACCTTATAGGATCAAAGTTTTGATATCAAGTTAGAAAAATCTAAATTCAAGTCCTATTATCCTTTGGTTCCAAGTTTCTCACAGTAAGGTCTTGGGGAAGGATGCGAGAGATCAAGCATGTTACTGTCACTGGGTCATCTAACATAAACCATCTTGACCAAAATTATCTAATCTTATTGTTGTTGTGTTGCTACTGCTGCTATTGTCATCAATTTCCCATGAATCACGTGCTTGTGATATATTTTTCTATTGCCTCTATCCTTTTCCTGTGCAATATCCTAATTTCCGTGTCTGCTCATTTCATGGGCTTCTTGGGTTTGGTTTGCTCTACATTTGTAGTCAACAGAAGGTTTCCTGTAACCTATGATTACTTTTGCTATCAACTTTGCAAATTTATTATATATGTGATATGATTTATTCGATTTGCACAATTCATGTTGAAAGCTGATAATCCAGTGCACTATTTCACACCTAACAGTTGCATGTCATCATATATCCCAAAGAATCGCTATTTCTTTTAGTTGTTGAATCTTTGTTGGATTGATCCATGTGTGATGTCCTGAATCCTCATTACTAATGGAATCTAAATGATCTCTGGATTGAATAGAAGATCCTTTCAATTGGTTAGAAGCCGTTACTTGAATGAAACTAGATTTTGTGGAATTATTTTAATATTTGACGATACATTATGTACCTTACTAAACAACCGATCCTTGTTTACCAACTGTAGACTGCAATAAAAAGTTCCCACGTTTGAATGTAAGGGCTTGGGTGAGGCTTGCTAAAAATGCATTATCTGTTGGTGATAATGCATAGTATACTTATGTCAATCTTAACTCTTTAAAGATAGATTTTTTTTTTCTAATACTGCCGAGATGAGTTGAAAAATAGCAGAATTGAATCACCATTTGGAGAAATTGAAATCACAATGTGGTAACTCTAAGAAATTACTGTTAAAATGGTTGTGAATGATTGGGAGAGAGGAGTCGATGTTGATCAAAATGTTGTTTTAATATCTGTACCCAACGTGCTTTGTCCAGATCTTGCACCCCCTGGGAAACACGTGTTACATGCCTATATGCCAGAAACCAAACCATTTGGACTCTGGGAAGGACTTGATCATAAAAGTGCTAAATAAAAGAACTCAAAGCTAAAAGATCTGAGGTATGCTTACTGGTAACTTTTGTCATTGGCTTTTCTTATGTTGTCATTCATGACAAATGCACTAATTGAAAGCCGTGAAATTCAATATTATCAGAAGGAATAATAGAACAAGTTCAGCTAACTTATTATGGAACATTTTAATGATAGTCCATTCAGAATTTGACTATGGTATTGAGGTTGAGGGAGTTTTACATTTTTTTTTTTTTGTTGATTAGGTTTTTTTTTTTTGCATCTTAAAGCTTGATTTGTTTAATTAGACCTAATTTTTTCTAGTTAATTGTCAAGTTTAAGAACAATATATATTGTATGCATAAATTTTGGCATTGGAGGTTGTGACCTAGAGCAATGACAAGTGTTATCAGCTCCGTGTGTTATGGCGTGGGGTTGAGTCACCTGAAGGTCAAGCCTCCGTTCCATAAAAATGTGTAGGGAAAGCTGCCTTACTCAACTATCTCTTCCAAACTATTGTAAGTGGGAGCCCTGTGCGTTGTGTACAACCTTCATAAGTTTTGGCATTCTTTTGATTTTTACCTATGGTGGAACTTCTTAAGAAAGTCTCAAGGTACATAATTTTTCCAATAATTGAAGCAACTTGGTTTTACCATGTATGATGTGATAATATTTGAACCATCATGTCTTTTAGTTTCTCTAAAAAAATTGTCAAAATTGCATATAATTTTGGAGTCAGAAGTTCATATTTCTGTGTATTCTTGGAATGTTGTCGACTTAATTTTTGAGTTTCCTATTAGCTACCTTGCTAATATCTCTAATTGTTCTCTCTTATTCTTTGAAATTCTCAAATGCTCATGTGCCATCAGATTATTTCCGGATAATCTGTATATAGTGTATGAAACAAGATAATTATTTTTCCTATTAAAGTAGCTCTTATTATTCCTTACCAATCCAAGTCATGTGGAGGGCCGTGGAGCGTGCTGTTGGTCTAGGTTTTGATCGCGAGAAGTGTGAAATGAAGTTGGTTGGAACCCCCTTGACACATCGAAGGTTTCTCCGGAGGAATAGAGGAACTTATGGGCCAGCTATACAGGCCGGTAAAGGCACTTTTCCAGGACATTCAACTTCGATCCCACAGCTTTACTGCTGCGGTGATTCTACAGTCCCTGGTATCGGAGTCCCAACAGTTGCTGCTAGTGGCGCCATTGTTACAAACTCATTGGTTTTTGTGTCTCAACACTCAGAGCTTCTTGACGCTGTTGGAATATGATAAAAGTTGTTGAGTTCTGTTTAATGTTTCTCTTGAATTTTTCCTCATTTTGTTGTATATTTATTAATATTGTATATAATGTTTTTGAGAAACAAGTATTTTTCTCTTGCTATAAAATTTAAATAATACACGTTTTTTTTAGCACACACTGAAATTAAAATGAACCTCACTGAAATCGGTTGAGTAAAAATCTTGGAATCTAATTTAATTAGATTTTTTCCCACCTTTTGAATTGGAAGCAAAAATAAAAATAACTCAAATGTTTTATGATGCATTTTTTTAATAATTGGTAGGAGAGAAGTAATGGAAGGGGAAGCTGCATTTGCAACGGTAAGACTCGAATTTCTCCCCTGGTGTGGGTAGGGGAGGAGGTTTTTAGTTACACACATAGAAAGATCAAAGTAGCTATCAGATAGAAAATACTGGTTTTAAGTTGTAGACATACCAATATTTTTATGATGATGATTACATTTACCTTCACTGCATAGGTAACATTTGTGAGTGGTGGAGCCTATTAATTAGATCAATGAAATGGTAACACATAAGATGATGTTTGGATATTTTTTACCTTAAATTAGAAGCACAAATAGATTGGGACTTATATAGTTTAGACCTGCTGAAGTAATTATTTTTTTGGAGACTTGCATAAGACTAAGGTCAAGTAAAAACTTATCGAAAATTTTTTGGATTGAAATTATAAATTATGTTTTGAACAATTAGTTTTTGAAACTAGAGAGTAAGTCCATTCATCCTTGTTACATATTGGTAGTGGGGGGATTAATGCATGGGATTGGATTATATATCTTGCTTGATCTTGAATTTCACATTTATATGTTAAAGTGGACCTCTAGATTGGCAGTCCCTTTTGGACTGTATATCCTCCATATAGGCGACTATTGAGTCTTATAGGAGAGGATGAGATACAGAATGGAAGGATTAAGGGGGTCCAGATTAGGGGGTTGAAAGACTAAAATATTCTCAAACTATAGTTTTTTTGAGCAACAAAAAAACAATTTTATTGAAACAAAGATGGTAATAAAGGGGGGACAAGAAATCTTCCTACAAAGTCAGAAAATACAAAGCTAAAGACCAAAGAAACAAAAACTAAAACACATCACAACCGGCACTAAGCATGACAAACAGCAGCCCAATCCCTAGAGACCATTTCTAACAAACATGAGATAGGATGGAATTTCAAGACTTATTAGTTTCGGTAATCTTGTCCAACGAAGAAGCATAGTAAATTTTCACAAACTAGTCTTGAATGCTAACCCAGAACCACCCAACTTTTCTTCAATGACCTTGTTCAAGCGTTCCACCATCTCAGGTGTAAAATGATTGATCCAATCACCCACTTCACCTCTCCTAAAGAACGTCTTATTCTCGAAGTGTCTAATGGATTTACCAGTTTTGTTCACCTCCAACTCTCTCATATTGTTAAAGTTGCACAACCTTGATATCTTTTCTATCACACCTTTACTCTCTTCATCTGAAGAGAATGGAACACTCGTAAACTCTGCTAGCCTCTTCATCTGAAAAATAATGTCTTCTTTCAAGTCCTCGTACATCAAAAACAGCACCTTTTGAGGCCTCTTCAGGCTCTCCTTCCAGTACCCCAATACATTGTCCCAGAAGGGCCCAAAACCGATGACACCCCTACAATACATGTCAAAAGCATCAATACACGATAGAGGCTCAAGGCTCTCTGGTCTAGGCTTAGACAAGAAATGCCAGGCGGAGACAAAGGCGTCGTAGGGATTGCGACAGAGATAAACAACGCGACAATTAGAGGTCTTGATTGAGTCAGGTAATGAATGGTATGGCATATGGGTGGAGAAAATGCTAGACTGAAAGTTGGAGAGGTTTAGAATATGACTGTCTTGATGGCCGTCTTTATTAGCAGAGAGATTGATCTCGTGAAAAGGGATGAGGTCGTGAGGGTTGGAAGTGAGAAGGGGGTGTTGGGAAAGCGTGTTGGTGTAGCGATGACGGTTGGCGATAGCGAATGTCAAGGCCTTCAACCAGGTGGTGCCTGATTTGGGCATGGTGGCGAGTATGAGGTCGGTGTCCTGAGCTTTGAAGTGTTGTTGGAAAGACATTACTCGCTGAATTTCCATTGAGGGGCACCAAAAGCCTTGGTAGAGATAGAGATCCAGACCTGTCCATCCCTTCTCTTTGGGAAGCAATGCTAGTGGATTGTCATGGCCATCTTCTTCTTCTTCTTTGTCTCTGATGATTGGATTGCTTTCCCTTCCTCGAGTGTTTTCCATGGAAGGTGGGGAGGGTGTGTTGCTATGGTAGGTAATCCACAAATTCAGTATTCTTGATCTTGATAATGGTTTTGAAAGTCTGCATAACCCAATGTTATCCATACACTATTATAGTGTTTGTGGCTTTCTTTTTTCCTTTCCCATTTTGCTCTGGACTTTTGTTTTGTGTTTGTCCTTTTTTTTTTTTTTTTTTTTTTTGGAGACTATTTTATAATTTTAATATTTTGTTTATAATTCTTGTCTCTTTTTGATAACACTTATAAATCAATTATTTAGTAAAAAAATTCACTAATTGTGTTTGATTGCAAAACATTTGTGAGTGGTGGAGCCTATTAAACCATTGAAATGGTAACACATAAGATGATGCTTGGATATTTTTTACCATAAATTAGAAGCACAAACAGACTGGGAGTTATATAAATTTAGACCTGCTGAAGTCACTATTTTTTGAAGCCTTGCATAAGACTAAGGTCAAGTAAAAACTTATTGGAAATTTTTTGGATTGAAATTATAAATTATGTTTTGAACAATTAGTTTTTGAAACTAGAGAGTAAGTCCATTCATCCTTGTTACATATTGGTAGTGGGGGGATTAATGCATGGGATTGGATTATATATCTTGCTTGATCTTGAATTTCACATTTATATGTTAAAGTGGACCTCTAGATTGGCAGTCCCTTTTGGACTGTATATCCTCCATATAGGCGACTATTGAGTCTTATAGGAGAGGATGAGATACAGAATGGAAGGATTAAGGGGGTCCAGATTAGGGGGTTGAAAGACTAAAATATTCTCAAACTATAGTTTTTTTGAGCAACAAAAAAACTATTTTATTGAGACAAAGATGATAACAAAGGGAGGACAAGAAGTCCTCCGACAAAGTCAGAAATACAAAGCTAAAGAGCAAAGAAACAAAACTACAACACATCACAGCCGGCACTAAGCATGACAAATAGCAGCCCAATCCCTAGAGAGCATTTCTAACAAACATGAGATAGGATGGAATTTCAAGACTTATTAGTTTCGGTAATCTTGTCCAACGAAGAAGCATAGTAAATTTTCACAAACTAGTCTTGAATGCTAACCCAGAACCACCCAACTTTTCTTCAATGACCTTGTTCAAGCGTTCCACCATCTCAGGTGTAAAATGATTGATCCAATCACCCACTTCACCTCTCCTGAAGAACGTCTTATTCTCAAAGTGTCTAATGGATTTACCAGTTTTGTTCACCTCCAACTCTCTCATATTGTTAAAGTTGCACAACCTTGATATCTCTTCTATCACACCTTCACTCTCTTCCTCTAAAGAGAACGGAACGCTCATAAACTCTGCTAGCCTCTTCATCTGAAAAATAATATCTTCTTTCAAGTCCTCGTACATCAAAAACAGCACCTTTTGAGGCCTCTTCAGGCTCTCCTTCCAGTATCCCAATACATTGTCCCAGAAGGGCCCAAAACCGATGACACCCTACAATACATATCAAAAGCATCATTACACGATAGAGGTTCAATGCTCTCTGGTCTAGGCTTAGAGAGGAAATGCCAAGCGGAGACAAAGGAGTCGTAGGGATTACGACAGAGATAAACAATGTGACAATTGGAGATCTTGATTGAGTTAGGTAATGAATGGTATGGCATATGGGTGGAGAAAATGCTAGATTGAAAGTTGGAGAGGTTTAGAATACGACCGCCTTGATGGCTGTCTTTATTAGCGGAGAGACTGATCTCTTGAAGAGGGATGAGGTTGTGAGGGTTAGAAGTGAGAAGGGGGTGTTGGGAAAGCGTGTTGGTGTAGCGATGACGGTTGGCGATAGCGAATGTCAAGGCCTTCAACCAGGTGGTGCCTGATTTGGGCATGGTGGCGAGTATGAGGTCGGTGTCCTGAGCTTTGAAGTGTTGTTGGAAAGACATTACTCGCTGAATTTCCATTGAGGGGCACCAAAAGCCTTGGTAGAGATAGAGATCCAGACCTATCCATCCCTTCTCTTTGGGAAGCAATGCTAGTGGATTGTCATGGCCATCTTCTTCTTCTTCTTTGTCTCTGATGATTGGATTGCTTTCCCTTCCTTGAGTGTTTTCCATGGAAGGTGGGGATGGTATGTTGCTATGGTAGGTAATCCACAAATTCAGTATTCTTGATCTTGATAATGGTTTTGAAAG